TCGTAGGTGTTCAGAATGGTTTGATCCCTATCCAGCTGAATTCCTGGGACCAGACGAAATCCAGGTCTCCTAATCCTCTGCCATCTTGCTCCCCATCCTGGAGACTTTTATGCCCAGGAGGCAATGCACCATAACAATGTTTGGGATGGGTGAGAAGTAAGCTTTCTTTTTTGTAAAGCAGAAACAGGGCAATTGTGAAAGGTAAAAGAGGAAAGGGAAACTGGTGGCTTGCAGGTGCTTGCATTCTCAGGCAGATCAGTTTTAGGAAAAGACATATGTAGAAGTTGAGAATTTGGTTATAGATTCCGTTTAGACATTGATATCTGCAGTACCCATGAAAAGTCTTTGTTTACATTTTCTTGAAGACTCCTGGGATGGGTTGTGTCTTCCTAACATCATAGGCATTATGCAGTATGATCAGAAGATAAATTGATTTTGTGACACCCAGAATATATTTTCTGGTGCTTTGGTAAATATACCAAGTACCCTCTCTATCTCTTACATTCAAGAATGTACCAGATACTGAAATCCCATAGTTTACCAATTACAAGACAAGAGGAAGATGAGTATGTGAATGATAGAAGAGAAAGCTATGCAAGAGGAGAAATCCCTTTCCCCAAATGTAAAATGTACAAGATGAAGAGTTCAAAACTCTAAAAATAGGCAAAAGGCATCTCCAGGGATTTTAATGAGTTCAATAGTACAGTGATATGCTGGATGTGATATTTATTTTTTGAAAATACATTTTGATCTAGTGAACAAGAATGGGATTAATTATTAATCACTTCCCCCAGTAATATGGACTAACCATTTTATATACAAAGAACTTTTACAACTTGGATTTTCCTGTAGTTTGTGAAATTTTATATTTTACCTGAAAAGCTTTTCATTTCTAGCATAAAACATAGGCAAATAAAAATGGGCAGTCTTTTTAAATTTATTTTTTATTCTCACTTTAGAAATGGAATACTTTTGGTTTTAAAGATTAGTTTACAAGAATACTATTAAAAACCGCTTAAAATTGGATGTTCATATCAATATTGATTTAGCATTCTAAATGTAATATATTTTAAAATATGCAACATTACTTAAGGACTTCATCTTTTGTATTGAGTTGTAATGCAATATAGCATTAGAGTAAGTCCTGCCAACATTAGGAAAGCTCCTATTGAGCTATTTATTTAGGTGTTTGCAAATTCACGTAAAAATATCTGTATTTTAACTATGCTAAATTTCTGGTATACAAGTAGGAAAACTTTGTGATACCAATTTTATTCCCATTGCTGTATTATGCTATTTTTTTTTAAACAAGAATCTGTGATAGAGTTGAAGGAACGCCAGATAGTGCTTACAGCTCAGAAGTATAAAACATAATCTGTGGCTATAATAAGAAAAATATTCCAGCAGGTTCAAAGAGATTGGGAATAAAAAGCCACCCATTTGCTTTTTTGTAGAAGCAGTAGCAATCTGCAGACAAGCTATTCTAGCTTCAAAACAGTATGGTAGATGGTTTTATGGGACTCACAATTACAGAAATCCACTTTAACCTTTCTTTCTTACTGGCAGGTGTCCCATTGGCTTACAGCCAGAGGCTGTGAGTGTAGTGCAGCTGGTGTGTCCCCCAGAGTGCTGAAAATGCCCACGCTCCAGCTGGCTGCTCATAACTGCACTGATTGTGGTCTGACAACCCAGAGCTCTAAGAAAGAAATGTGATGAATATACGAAAATATTTTACAAATTTGATCAGATTACAAATTTCATCTCTCTTTTTTCTCCTCTATAGATATGATATCTGCACTTATAAAAATAAGCCCTGTGGAACATTGGGTAAGTTTTTTATAAAGGGAGGATAGTTCAGATTGTCTTTTTGGTCCAGTGGCTTTACTCTTTATTATTAATTTGGTCATTTTCTTTTCTGGCACATCTGAAATTACTCCTATAAATTGTTAAACCTGACCCATGTGGGTATGTCACTTAACTAGGAAACAAGTAGAATGATGATTAAAAACAACTTAGAAGATGATTCTAAATCTTCAAACAATCATGATGAATCAAAAGTTACCAGTCTGTAATGTATTTTCCAAAAATACCAAGGAATTTAAGAGCAAATAAAAGCACGCAGCATCTTCAAATATCAGGCTAGGAAAGGATAGGGGGAAAAGTCAGGGGATACTTAAAAGGGAGACATTGTGTTCTTAATGTACTTTGGTGCAATTTTGTGGAGCGGGTATATCCCCATAAATTAAGATATTGGAAATTTTCAGGACCTGAGCAACAATAAAAAAAAAATTGTGAAATATTACAACCAGCAGTAGAGAGGACAGGATTATCTTTCTTGTGCTTCCCAAATATTTGTTTTTTAAAAAGCATTTCTGCATATTCTAGAATTTAAAAAGTCACATTTTGTTGTAGAGTATAACTTCATTCTGGTTAAAAGTTAACTGCAAATACAAATGGGGGAAATGATAGCTTTCAAGTAGACTGAATTGTTAAGCAACTAGAGTTATTTTTAAGAACGGGAGCTTTTTCTTCTAAGATAATTTTTTTAGTGTCATAGAGACTGATTACAGACTCAAAAGTTAAGCACCTGAAGGTGAATTTTCTAGTTTCTCTATGATAAGTCTCAATTTTCTTGCCTGTAAAGGAACAATTATGAAATCTATTCCTATGCTCCTCATAAGAATTTTGGGAAGATCAAATTTAAGTAGAGGTGGGAGAAAAGGTGTTACCCAGTTTCCTGGGAGAATTCAGAAAGTCCTGTCTGTAGAGATTAAAATTTCTCTTGATTTTTATCTGCCTTTCCAGTCTTCTCCTATCCTATTTCCCTCAGGATTTAAGGCTAAAAAAGAAATCCCAATTAGCTAACGATCAGTATTTAGGGTAGAGAAGTTTGCTAGTTAAAAAACATAATGTAGAAAGAACTCTCTCTGCTGAGAGATCTCACATCAAAAAGATTTAGGTTTTTAGGTTAACAAAAGCAAAATAATCCATTGGAAAGGACCCTAAAGTGGAAACTGGAAACTAACAACTGGCTTTGACTGTTTCAGTGCATTACATTTTCCTCTTTATTTAGGTATTTATTCCTCAATTCCTTATCTATGAAGTAGGAGCAATATCTGCCCTTATGTAACAGGGATATTGTAAAAATCACTTAAAGGAAAAAAAATACAAAGATGTTTAATAGAGAAGTACTGTAAAAATGCACTGGTATTATTATTTGTTGTAGAAATTATACTAACTTAACCTGTTATTGTTCAATATCTGAAAGCATTTACTAAGTGCTTGATCAATTTTAAATACAATTGACACTAAGCTTCAAAGGAGGTATAAGCTAGAGCTTGTATTTTTCCATTGTATATATATATATTCTGAGGAAATACGTATGTATATATCTATATACATTCTATTCTGCTTTTTGAAGGTAGATTGTTTACACTGAGATGTGTTCTTCATTAGGACATTAGTAATAACATTGCCTATACTTATGTTGTTATTTTTACTCAAGTAGATTCGAGATATGCTTCTACCCAACATCTCTTTCTTTCCCAAATATGTATTCCAATTTTTATAGCTTATTAATTTCCAAAATCAATACATTAATACTTTGGTTCATGTCAATGCATTTTCAAGCTCAGTATAAATTATTTTCAAATTATAAGCCATTATAAATTATCTTTTATACTATCTCATGGTGAAAACTAAATGACTGCATATGTATACATGTGTTGAGCTTCATATGTGAAAAATATATTATCAGTACAGAATGGTGGTCAGGGTTTTTCTTTTTGGGTGGTCATTCTGTCAACTTTCATGTTGGTTTTTATGCTAATACTTGCATATTCTCTTGCTTAGTAACTTTGATGACCAATTGTAACATGGCTAAGTAGATTTAAGGGTGCAAACTGTGGCCATCAAACTGAGGAAATCTAAATGACCCAAATAGTAATCAAACCCCTATTAACACAATCACACGTAAGAACTTTGACAGCCTCAATTTTATAGGAATATAGAAAGTTGTAGGGGTTGTGAAAATAGATTAGCTCTAAATTATTTTATCTCAGTTAGGATTTAGCTCTGTATTTTTAACGAATAGTTATTTCCCAAATATGTTCTTTCTGAAGTTGTTCTTTTAGTAGAACAACTAAGTTAATTTTATATCAGATAGAGAGGTAAATCTGTGCTTGCAAATACATCTTAGGGAGTCATTGAGAATTCTCAGTTAAAAATATTACCACATGGCATATACCAAACAGTCACAATAACAACAAACAAAAATCTAACCCATGGAATAATATATTTTGGGAAATATAAGAAATGTTAATTTAACAATAATTATTCTCAGTAATTGTTTTTTAACCAAATTTCATAAAGCTTAAAACAGAAACAGTATTCAAACAGTGTGGCTTTGTTCTTCCCATATCATGAATGATATTGAACTCAATAGCTTAGCCAGATAATCTACTGCAAACTTTTTTGGTATTCTTTCTCTCCCTATCTCTCTTTGTCTCAGGGGAATTTAGAACTAACATTTCTTACATATTTGTGATTTACCAAAAAAATTAAGTCACCTTAGTGACTTAGTGCCCCAACTAGTCCCTCTTTTCACTTCCTCTTCTTCAGGTCCCAAGACTTCTAAGTAGATGGAAGGGCACAACAAGGATAACACTAGTATTTACAATAACTCAGTGACAGAAATCAACCCCTTTCCCAGCTCGTGCTCCTTCCACATAAAACAGTAGGAAAAGCAAACAATCTATTAGCAAATCTAGCACTGACCTCATCTCTGTTCCAGTGTGGCTATTATGTTCATATTTTATATTAGAAGGTACAGAAAAACAATTTCTAGAGCTTTCTTATCAGTAAAAATATTAATTGAATAGCTTTTATTGTTCCAAGTTAGTGTAACTGGGAAATTGTACCTAGCATGGAACATTGCTTATTGTGGTCAATAAATATTCATTGAATTGGATTCAAATCACTTTTTGTGGTTAGATAATTATTATTTGGGTAATGATAGTAGACTACTAACATACAAAATGTTTTTCCTACTTTTCCTTCAATTTCTTTTAAATAACTTTCGTTCCTATATGTGTTAAGTATAATTTAGCATCTGTTTCCTTATAACACATGACATTTTTCACACAAAAATTCTTTTTTTCTAAGTACTGTTTTAAAGTTATGTACTAATTCACAGGGCGTAATATTCATTTGGAAGTAAATATGAAAGCTTTTACAAGCTAAAATTCCCAAGGGAGGAATACCTTGAGAACGAAACATTTCATTAGAATCAGTGAATTAACACTGTAGTTTTTGCTTTATTAGTAAAACTAATGCATTGAAGGGGGATGGGAGAGGAGATAACCATTGAAAGTGTGAATGTCTTTCTTTCCATTAAAATACCTAAAGAAATTGTTGCATCACTATCAGGACTTATTTCAGAAGATTAAAAAAATGCAAAACCTCCTATTTTTAACAGTTCTCCTTTTTCTCTTTTGAATCATTCATTTTTGCTTTTATAAAAAAATGTCATTTAAAAAAAACCATTTGGGATTCCCTTTTTTTAGTAACTAAAAAGTTGCTTGTATATTTTTATGAACCCACTAAACTTAAACAGATCTCTTTAGAAAAATAATGTGGATGTATTTTGCTTTCTACAGCCTGAAGAATGTTAAAATAGAAATGCTTTCTTGAATTCCCTCTTCTGGCTCAAGTTACTAGGTGGTCCCAAGTTACCAGAAGTAAAATTTATAAATCTAACCCCTAGTCTAGACATTTTCCAGCACTGACTGCAGTTCAAAAAATATTAATGTCTAGCCGGCAAAGTGAAACTCCCCCCAGTGATTTTGCAAATGACTAGAAAGTTAACCTTTTGCCAACTGCTCCTTCTGTGCATGGAGGTTATTAAAAAGAATCCAGGCATTTATAAGTATGGGCTTTTTAAGACTGAAACACCTTGGCTTGACCCTTTGTGTCTCCTTCTGTTTATTCAGGCTTGGCCTCTGTGGCTGGAATGTGTGAGCCTGAAAGGAGCTGCAGCATTAATGAAGACATTGGCCTGGGTTCCGCTTTTACCATTGCACATGAGATTGGTCACAAGTGAGTGAGTTTAAGAAAATCAAAATAAATTTTAGAACTCCACTCTTTTGAGCAACTCATAACTACTGTGTGGAGCGCCTGTGCTCAAACATACTTTACTGCCTTTTTGTCTGATTTCAGTAGAGAATGTTATCATTTGGGGTATTGGGATAAATCATCTTAAGAACTGGAGACTTGTTAAATAATCTTTCTGATTCAATGACCCATATTTTTAGAGTGGTGAATGAGACACACTTAAGTTTTGTTATATATATTTGAAATAATTTACCTTTAGCACAGTCTGCTCATCACACAGTTCCTCTAAGTTAAATTGTTTAAATGCTCTTTCTTTTTTTTTATTTTTATTTTTATTTTTTTTTATTCTTATGTTAATCCCCATACATTACATCAT